TGTTAGCGGCTAACTAATACATAAAAGTCACGGACCGAGGTATTTCTGCGGAGTTATTGCGAGAAGTAATGGACGTTTCAGCGGACGGTCAAAACGTTTATGGCCGATTAATACCGAGACTTTAAATAGTTAGATGGGAGCCAGGACTCGAACCCTTTCTAGGTCTGGAATACTGAATGAACTGGGCTCCATTTGAAACGCGTGCGGGGGATTCTCCACGGTCGCGTCCACATGTCCACCAATTAGACACGCTGGATAAAATCACTGTTACCCTACGAGCTCTGCACGCAATTATTCATTTTTCGCGTCAACAGACCGCTTTATTCTCTGACGCCTTTCAGATAATATTTTTTAAATAGAACTAAGCAGGACGCGCCCTTTGTCCTTTATCGTTCTCGATTGAACAAAAGTTTCTGTAAACTACTTTGCGATGTAACTCCAACCAGTCAGCGTAGTATCTTTTGCGCTTACAACTGGGCTGCTTTCTGTCGACTTTATTTTTCAATAAACTAATTACTAGAATGTGAATTTTGTACTTATATTTTGTAGGCGCTATTAAATCCAGTAAACAAATTACAAGTATTTAAGAATACCAATGTATCAGTCTCAGCTTATTAAGAGAAAGTTTCTATGTGGATACAGTTTCTTGCCATTCATGTCAGCAATTCTTATTTTGCATTAAAATTCGCGATCTATTAATTACGAAAATTTTAGAGTTTTGTGTAATTCAGTCGCATTGCAACGCATGATTGTATGTGATCTAACATTTTATTTGAACTTGTCTGTTGCGACAACAATTTTGCAATTACGTATTTATTCTTGCGTGTCTTCATTTCGTTCTAACATTTGCTACATTATAATATGCGATTGTAATGAAGTTATGTTTCAAACGACAAACTCTAATGAAGAATGTGACAATTTGCAAAAATAATGGACGAGTTTCTTCTACAAAGTAGCAACGAAGAATTGAAAGTTCTACAACTTATTTCCAAGTCGCATAAATAATCCACAGACAACTCGAGCCACGCTCTCGCATTATGCTGTTATTAATAAACGTCGAACTCGTGTTTCCATTGATCGGAACGATCGGGGAATTGCTCTACCTGCTCGCTCCACAAAACCAGCCAATTTATAACAGGCTACAAGTAGGATCACCTTTAATATGATCTCGATGAATGCCCCCGTTGCCTAGCCGTGTTGTGACAATGTTTAGGGAACGTTTTGGGGTCTAACATTTGTGTACGGCCCCCTTTTTAGTCAGTTTTCATTGTACGACGAAAACGTATCGGCAATTGACAAATGGGAGATATTAATTTCAACGTACGAAAATTTCACGTAACACGTCACCGTCGTGGGACACCACTACCCTCGTTCCTCGCCATCATGATGCTCCCATAGTACTCCCGTAATCCGTTCGACACGTCTAAATAATAATCAATTATCAGGCTTTACAAAAGTTGATAAAAATTACTGTTTTAAAGACAAATCGCGCGAGGAAATTCCATTAAACATACAAAGACACTTGATGCGAGATTTATAACGTAATTGCGATTACTAGTAATTAATGCAAGATACTTGATAATACAATCGAAATAAATCAATATTCGAAAGATATGAGGAGAATTTGAGAAATAACAATGCAATTTATCATCCGAACTCGAAAGTATTTAATTTTTCGGATTTTCTTAACACTTTATTTACTGGAAACTTGTTAATAGACTTTACAATAATAGAGTTGCATGTAAAAGAAGCTCGATAATTGAACAATTGAACAATTTTTTTGAGAAACTCTCGACTGTTGATCTTCAAGTTTGAGATAATTATTAGAAAACTGCCGGCACATAAAGTGTTAAGAGGTGTCGAAGAACGAAACGATTTGCAAGGTTTATTGAAAGACTAATTAAATTAAAACGAATCGATGAATAAGACGATGGGGTAGCGTTCATTGGACGGAAATCCTAACGGGGTACAAAAGGTACTTCGAGTCCGGGATCAGGACGCAAAATGGCGGCGGCAGCGGCGGCGTATCAGACGGAAATACGTTCGAAAAGGTAGGGCGACATTGGAAATTGAAAAATAGTGCCTTGGGCCGCTGTCGTTCACAGTGATGGCTCCGTGACAGCCAATGTAACGCACGAATTAACGAAATAATTGATTTTCATACCGTTCGGAGTAAGCGGCGCGCACAAAAGACCGAGCGAACCGATCGCCGAACCGAGGAGATATTTTCTCGATTTCCTGACCGCAGGTGCATCCACGTTACTGCACCGTGTATCAAAAAATCACGGCGCTTGCCTTGGGCGAATTTCGCGTTACGTCACGAAATCGCCGATCTTTCCACCGATGCTTCATTCATGGTTGGAACCCAACTTGTGACAGAGCACAGTTCGATTTCGACTTTCACTGAATTAATCGTTTCTACGTATATATTAAAATATTCAAAATTTCATCGTGAAATGATATCTCTAATAAGATGCACCAATCTTCGGATCATAGTAAATACGATAAGCATTCGCACAATTCTGCATTAAGCTAAATATAAAAGTTTTTGAAATAATTAAGTAGTCCTTTGTACACTTCAGGTATCGTAGAAATCACTGACACAGATTTCATTGACAACCACAATTCACCGGCTACAACTTCGACCAACGACAGACTTCACTGACACCGGACCGACACCAGTCTTCAACGACAATAATAGACGACGACGACGGATTTGTTTAATTGTCGACCATGAAATGGTTACACAAGTTGCAATTTTTTTTTCTTACGTACGTACCAGACGATCAGAACGTATGGTTCACTTTTCTTACTAGATAAATCTTCGACACATGATCTAAAATTCAAAGAAAAACAGCGTTAAAAATATCGTCCAGAAATAGTTAAAAAGTATATGAAACTGGTATTTTACATAAACTGGGGCAAAGGACATAGCAAGGCTGCTGATAATTGTGGCACAATCAGTACCAACGCGATGTTCTACCAAGTTCTACTTAAATAGAGTAACTATTGCCAACGTTATTACATTTTATATATCTCATTCGAAGCCTTAGTTTGAACTACTCCGCGTGCAAGGAGTTAAATGAAGTGTCTTCAGGCCAAGCATCTAAAATATTAAACCGTGGACACTGATTGCAAGTGTCGTCACGCAGCAAGTATTTACGCCGGGATGTAGATTACGTTTCCCACTTCTGAACCGGAGCATGCAGCGGGTCGACGACGATTCGTAAAACTGGAGGAAATCGGCGTGTCTCGTAACGTTAATAGGCAGACCTGAAGGAGAGATTATTCGTAGCCGGGCGGATAATGTAAGCCGGCGAGCACGCCGCTATATGGATGGGGGTCGAGGGTGGAAGCGAAGGCGGAAAGAGAACGGACGGGAGAAAGAGAGAAAAGGGGAGAAAACAGATTTATATTTGAAATTAGATTAAGCTTCTGCGCTTGAAAGCTATATAAACGTCCCTCTACCCACCGGTGCCGTGTACGTTCCGCGTTCCGCAATCCACTAAGAGGAAAGACTCAATAAACCAACCACTCACTCTTTCTTCCTCCATCTTTTACCGTCCCCTCTCTCGACCGCGGTCCCTCGGTCTCTCTCCTTCTCCTTTCGTTCTCTCTGTATTTCACGGGATCCCCGGACTGTTCTACCATTCTCCCCATCTTCATTTTTACCAATAAAACAACCAGCTCTCGTCTTATTTCAACCTCCACCCACCTACTTCGCGAAGTACGATCGTAACCGCGCGTGTCTTTATTCCCTGCGAATATCTCTTCGCGAATCCGGGACATATTGAACGGGCGCAAACGTTCTGCCGATTCTGTTTCGGGATTGTCTCTGGAAACTACGATGATCTGACACAATTTTGAGGAAGGTGTAGTTCTCATGGCTTCGCTGCCGAGTTAAAATTAGTCATTTTCTCGGATGTACTGTATTAACATTAAACACTAAAGTGACACTAATCGTATCGAGAACTAAAATTAAGTGATGCATATTGCCCTTTTATTGTAACATGTGCTTGAATAAATTCAATAATTTTCCATGAAAGCATCTTTGTAATTTCAATAATCATGAAATGAAGAATATGTAATCGGTTTTATATATGATTGGCTGCGTTACGTTTAATGTTGAACATTCTTATTAGTAAACTGTGGATTTTATGCATTTATAGCAAAATTGGGTAAATGCAATTAAAAATAGGAAAGATTGAATAATTTAAAAGTGTCAATATATTATATTAAATCTGTTAAAACAACTAAGAAAGAATGAACTTGGTTGCTAATTCTACCAATTGATGACACAGTCTACTTATTAGACCAAATAAAGGCTGGCTGCACGAAAAGAAGTAGTTGAACGAATCAGTTTCAACACTGGATCAACATTGTAGATCCAATTTGAATTTCGAATGGAACAAGTGTGACGAAATTCAGAAGTTTTCATAATTTTAACCACTGGTACTATAATATCGTGTCACACGTTGAGTAGATTGGATAGAAAGATTATTGGGAAGATATTTTCCAGTCTTAAGAGTTTCCTCGAGATTTTATTATGGCTCGGCCTCTCAAATCACTGTTATTGTTTGAAGTCTCGGTAGCTCAAGCTTCTTGTTTCCTCGCTTTTTGTAGTCGGACGTGGACTTTCTTTGCGCAAGAAATTTCATAATTTCCTGTTATTTTTAATAGTCTTTTTCTGCTTCTTATTTCGCCAGGTTCGCAATCTGCACGCCTTTCGAGTAAGACATTGTAACGGGAAAGTAGAGCGGAAAGAAAGGGCGCGAGTGTTTCTAGCGAGTGGATTTTAGGGAACTATGATGACAGTAAGAAAATGAAACTTTTTAATGAAATGGATGGAACAAACTTAATTGGAAAATTTTCAACTTCTAACAAATGCCCTGTGGTTGTAATAAAAATTACATTGTTCCATAAACGACATTGCTCCCGTTAGTTAACATTAAATTATTAGACGTAGAAGTTCGAAAGAAGAAGCTTTTCAAGAGAGAGCGTCCGCTATTGTATTAATAAATTATATTTTAGAATACGTCTTAGAAAAGTTGTTACAAATGTTGTTTATAGTTTAGAATACGTCTTAGAAAAATGAAGAAAAAAAGTAAAGAAAACAAGATCATAAGTAATTGCAAGAGATTTGAATGAGTTTAGCTTGCTCACTGTTTAACGTTCACTTTATGGATTCACATCGGAGTTTGCAACGTTCCTGGTCCCACTCCATACCCGTATCCCTGTGGTCCAAAATTTCGGACATAACATTCTAAATATTCAAAAGAAACTGGAATAAGATTGATGTAGGAACTCCAAGCGTCGAAGACTATTTTACTTAATAGTAACCATCGATATATATCATGGACAAGAATTTTATGGTTCAAAAGAGTAACATTGTATAGATTGCAAACTAACGTTTACAGTAAATTTCTCCGCAATTTTCCTGATACGTTAACGGCTCCAACGGCTTCCTACAGCAATTGCAACTGAAGCATATATTGTGATAGGGTATACCAGACACCATCTTGAATAAATATCAAGATACAAACATATGTTTTGTAAATATTTCTTTACGAACAATGTTCTAAGTCATTAAATAAAGCATTCTCAGATACCGATAAGCGTCGATTAATAGAAAATTATATAACTATTTAATTACTTCAAATTACCTGCATTTCAGCCTGGTACACCTTTCGCCCACAGCGCTGGCAATCAAGACCGCCTCCCAAACACTCGCAAATAACTTTCGGTCGGCAGCAACCACCCTCATTACAATCTGCTCTGTCGGTACTGCATCTTCTACGACTCGATCGACATACGGGACTTTTGGATCTACATGGGCTAAAAATAGTCTTATGAGAAACAATGATATCAACGGTGCATTTAGGCGATTTTGAATTCATAAGATACTCGGATAACTGCATAATTTTTCTTTATCCAGATATCTTATAAATTAGCGGCTTTAGCGGAAATAGTCTCATACCGGCTGCAACAATTCGTACTGCCCCCAGTGCTGGGGCAACAAGGTGAGCATTTTCTACAAGAACAAGATGATTGCGGGGGACAAGAGCGTGATGGGGAACAAGGTGAACACGGTTGGCATGGAGTCGTGCAAGATCTCGCCGGTAGACAGGTCTGCCCGGGTTTTCCACAACCACCGCGACATCCACCTCCGCAACATCCACCGTTGCCGCAACCCTGAGACTCGGTACACGATGGACGACATCTAACAATCGTTTTCTTGCAGATTGGTGGTGGACAGCAGCTCCGTCGTTCGTTACACGGCGATGAACAGCTTGAACAGGAAGTGACGGTGCGACATGATTCCGGTTCTCCTGAAGAATTAAAATCATGTCTTACTTTATAAGCTATGGTTTTGATCTATGCTCCTGGCAACAAGTAATCCGTCAGAATATCTATCGTAATAATTTTAATAAGCGCTAACTAATTGCATTAATGTTCACAAATTCTCCTACGCTGTCCTTTGGTACAAATTACCGATATTAAATACCAAAATGCAGGAATGTTTACTGTAAACGGAAACAAAAAATTAATATGAAGGTCATATTTTCCAGATTACACGCTCGTCGATGTTTATTTAAGTGATATTTCGTCGCTATGTTACAATAGCTGAGATCAAGGTCAATTCGATGACCTCCATATGATATTGGGTAGGAAAAATTCAGGAATGTTTGTGAAAAATTTAAGCAACAGGTTTCGGATTGATCTTAGCCATGCTGATAAAACTATCCGTTCTTACCGATGACCTCGGAATTTTGAAAATATTACTTTCATTGGAATGTTTTCAATACAATTTGCTCCTTTAGATCCTTATTTACCATGAAAGATTCGAGCGATCAAATTATATTGTCCACCCTGTACATGGAATAATACTTTTCATAATTACTTCTTCCGCAAAGGCAGGTAGCTTCTACCACCTTCACCACGCCGCAGGAGACTTTAGGTCGAGGTCCACATGGCGTGCATGATCCCCCGCAACCTCCTCGCAGACGTTCATTATCATCCTGTCCATTCGTTGAAGTGAGACAATTTTGGTAGGTCATCGATTCTTCTCTCGAGGACTCGTCGTCTTTTTCATTCATTGTTCGACTCTGTCCGGGATTCTTCTCGGTGTCATTGCATTTGTTTAACGCCTCGTCGTCGTCGTCGTCGTCGCAACACTCCGCGGCGCTTTTTTCAAAATGCATTCTGCCAGTCTCCTCCGTTCGACTTACATTAACATTTTCGTACCCGCCGTCATTTTTACCGACCGGATCGTCCGCTTGCCAAATGTCGTATGAACTACGATATTCCTCGTTACTGTCATTATTGCTACAAAACCTACGGCGAACATCCTGCATATTCGTCATAGAATTCTGGCTGTTTCCGCGTGTATCCCCGAAGACGACGTCGCAGAACGAGACTCGTCGTCGGGAAGGCAGCGGATTGCGAGGCGGCGGTACCGGCGGATACGTAAATTTTCGTCTTGACGGAATAATGACGTTATTGGCGCTAAATTCGCAAGCAGGAGCGGATTTGTTAATTTTATTATTCCAGTTGGTTGATGGCATTCGAGTTTTGTCTGTGCTGGAAATGTCTACGCTTAGAAAACTTTATATTGCTGAACTTTCAGCCGTACTGAAAATTCGAATGCAAAAAAAAATAATAGAGACCATTTGATTAGCGTAAAAATAACATGATCTGCCTATTCTAATCTGTAATCTCGACTCTATGATTCTTGTGTGAAACGCAACGACATCGAATCATTTCCGCGTTTAGACTTAATCTTTTAGGAACGACGCGCCACTATAGTGGCTTTCGCGAATGTCATCTTTCAGAACGACACGCCACTATAGTGGTTTTCGCGGATGTCATCTCTCTGGACGACGCGCCACTATAGTGGCTTGCTCTAGTAGCTCACTCGCTCATCGTTTGAACCAAATAATCGTCTTCATATGCATTGTTTCACACTTCTTTTGTCTTCACATCGATTTACAACAGTCTATAGGGCGTCCCAAAAATGTCTCGCAATCCGGAAATGGCGGGTTCCTCGGATCAATTGAAGCAACTTCTTTCTTTACAAAAATGGTCTCCGAGGCACCGTTAACGAGTTATTAACGAAAAACAGTGACCAATAAGAATCGAGTACGGCTGACGCGAGGCGGCCCAGCCAACCAGCGCGCGAAGCCCAGTTCCGCTCATTGGCTCGATCGCCTCGCGCCAGCCGAGCTCGCCTCTCATTGGTCACTGTTTTTC